GGTCGATTGTGTAACCCTAACACAAACCTACCATGTACATCTAACACTAGTCCATTCTGTAACCCTAACATTAACCTACCATGTACATCTAACACTAGTCCATTCTGTAACCCTAACACTAACCTAACATGTACATTGAACACTAGTCTATTCTTTAACCCTAACATAAACCTACCATGTACATCTAACACTACTCCATTCTGTAACCCTAACACTAACCTACCATGTACATCTAACACTAGTCCATTCTGTAACCCTAACCCTAACATGTACATTGAACACTAGTCCATTCTTTAACCCTAACATAAACCTACCATGAACATCTAACACTAGTCCATTCTGTAACCCTAACACAAACCTACCATGTATTTCTAACACTAGTCCATTCTGTAACCCTAACACTAACCTACCATGTATTTCTAACACTAGTACATTCTGTAACCCTAACACTAACCTACCATGTATTTCTAACACTAGTCCATCCCGTAATCGTAACACTAACCTACCATGTATCTAATTCTAACATTACCTGTTACACTAACCCTTCCTGCAGCCCTACAATTAATGTTCCCTGTAACCCTAACATTAAAGTGTGTCTATACCCAAATTTTTTTAAACTTTGGACAGAATGGGGAAGGGTTAGAACCCCTGTCTGCTTCTACTGCTATCTACAGCTATTTTTGACATCTGTCTGTAATGCTCTTAGTGAGATTTCTCCTCACTTCCTGTGCCAGACTAAAAAAAAGGTATGGCTATAGACACACCTTAACCCTACCTGTATCCCTAACATTAAACATCACTCTACTTCTCCCTGTAACCCTAACACTAACCTTCCCTTTTATAAATTTAAGTAGTATTAAACTCTCAATCCTTTTTTTCAATAATTAATCCAGATCAAACTAATATATATTGCCCATCAAAGTATCTCTTTACATTTCTTCCCAAACACTTACTGTTGTCGTGTTTCTGAACAGCTTCCCTGAACTACCTGTCCAGTACAAGATCACAAGGAACAGTGCAGACTCCAACATCTACTCGCTTGGAAGAGGAAGGAGGAGCAGAGGAGTGACTTGCCTTGCTGTGCCTGTGTGTATGTGGAGACACACAGCTTACTAGCACACACATAGGGTGGCTCCATAGGACCCTGCAAGAGGACCAGCTGATTCTGCAGGGAACTAAAACTTTTAAACATCAAGGAGCAGATTTGATTGTAAGTGATTTAATCATCCTTTGAAATAGCTTAAAACCTTTTGATTTTAATATCACTTTAAACCTCTTGTTTGCATAATTAGCTTGTCAGCCCCAGGATCCTTTCTGACAAAGATCAAACATCCTGTGACAAAAGATACCAACACCGAATTTCCTGCTTCATTCCCACATTAAACTTGTTTCCTTTCTACAAAAATGTGGTACACTGTTGCTTAGACTTCATCATCTTAGATTTATTGTTTTCAGTTTTGTACTTTATAACTTCCATAATGACTAAGGCTGAGTAACCAGTAAGTAGATGAATGCGAGAGTTGCATTTCAATATCTCCTCCAACCACATCAAGACATAAACACTCAACAAATGGCTCCTATAAAACCACAGCTGTTACAGCTTACATAGATCCACATTAAATCCACAATCACTTACCAGCAAACTTATAGGCTTACACCAGTTACCCTCGTTCATTTTACCAGTAATGAATCAACAGCAGTCATGCAAATATATATTTCATATTAACTATATTGCCACATAATAGTGATTGCAAATGGAAGCGGCTTGTGGAAAACCCAGGGAAGATCTGTAAAGTAGAAATACCATTTTAGTAGGCGAGCTTTCCATGTAGTAATGTCTCATTTCATCTAGACTAAAACATGTCTCGTCCATTTCTCCAAATGTTATAAAACAAATCCAATTAACAAATCCTTGTGTTGTATAAACACACAACACAGCTGAATAAAAAGATATGTGTTGAAGTGTGGATTGTCATAATTCCTCAGAGTGTATATATTAGCACTTTGGCTAAGAAAAAATTGAAAGAGTTTATATATAATGATGACACAGCACAACCAGAACACAAGATAAAGGAGAAAAAGTTACAAAAATACACATAGTAAGCACAGAGATACTGGAAGTGTAAATGGGGCCTGAAAGTTTCCCTTCACAAATGTGCTAAACAGAAGCGCAAAGGTGTGAACCAGCCACACAGTAAGGAATTGGATCTCTTCTTCAAATGCAGAGAGCAAAATTCATGTGTTTTCATGTGAAAATGGAAAGGTGTGAATATGCCCGTTTTCGGCCTTCGGTAGGAATAGGGAAGAGAATAGATAAAACGACTGACAATTTTATCTTCTGTCTGTGACTCCACTGCAGAGATTTTCCCTTACTTCCTATTCTTGTGAAACGCATAAGAAATGCGGGGTAGATGTGTCTCTGGATCAGGAGGGCACAGGCAAAAATAAATACATTGTCAGACATGATAACTATTCCTCTCTCTGCTTAAGGTTCTCGTCAGTGTATCCGGTGTTTTCTTTTTTAGGCTTTTTTCCTTTATTCTCACCTGGTAATCCAACCAGTAACAGTAACTTCCTTTCCTAGGGTGGCTCTACTCTATGGGGGAGCAACCAAGCCATGGTCAGCAGTATTGTCAGTCTGTGGACAGGGTAGTATTAAGCTGGCCATACATTGGTAGATGGTATGGATGTAAATTCCATAATACTTCATGATTTTCATTCGAAATTTTGTTTGATATTAACCTTTTTTTATGGAATGAATTCCAAAAATGGAACTGAACATGTAATGAACATTCATTGTTAGAATTTAATTTGTTGGCGAGAAAGTTCCCATCCTTCGATTTTTTTTATCACTATGGTCAAAATTTATTGTTGATTAACTATTAGAAAATCAAACAAACTTTCTGGAAGCAAATATTTTTGAACAAAATCCTACAGGTGTATGGCTCTAGTAGATTTACATGAACTTGAATAAGAAAGCTGAACTTGATGGACCTGTGTCTTTATTCAACCTCAAATACTGTACTATGTAACTATGTAACTCCAGCTCATACCTACACTGCCACAGTTACAGCAACAGTTTATATTCTCTTTGGGATAAAGGTTTTACATAAATGAATAAGACCACATTCACAACTCTGTGAGACTCATGAGAGCTGGTGGGAGGCACTGTGCAATACAATGACAGCTGCCACCACCCGCAGCAGCTCGCAGGCTATTCGTATGACAAGACAAAGATAATGCCTCTCCAGCAGTTACCCACTTCCAAGGATTTGGTGGATAAATGGTCCATAAATGAAACCTTCATTTAGGCCAATGTGGAGATTTTGTATTTCACCTAAAGATCCATTTCAATTCCGTTTGGAGTAAGATCTTATCCAGATCTCCCTTCCATGATGCCAGTTTCTTGTCCCAGATCACCCAACATTTTAAACAATCAGGAGAGATATAGGAATCATATATAGATAACACAAAAGAAGGTGTGTGTGTTATGGCAGATTTAGATATGAGTGACACACCCCAAAACTTAATGTAGAATCAAAGTTGAATGAGGCTGGCATCAGAAAATACATCAGTTCCCTTGGTGTTTGGGGTGTTCCAGCCTGCCTGCTAGTGTGCACGTCCACGGCTCCCGCAGGTTAACCGACCTCTGTTGCTGGATCCACAATAACATGGTCCACAATTTAGGCATTCTAGGTGTTGCAATCCTCCTGAGGAAGCCATAAGGCGGTGAAACATGTCGAGGATCCTAGAAAAGACTCAAGGATGATAGATTTATGTGGAAACTGTTGCACATCATGGAAACAACTAACGTACCTAAGTACAAACTGTACTATCTTTCTAAGGCTGTTATTTATAACAGATTTTTAGCTGTGAATCTAATAAAATTTGTTTTAACTGTAACAATCTGGGACTGAAGATCGAGTGTCTTGAAAGCTCCCTCCCCGAGGTTTTGTGTATCTGGGTGAAGTATAGAAATCTTTCAGCTTTGATTCTGCATAGGGATCATATACAGTATATATTAGTTGGAAGATGATACCTGGACAGAAACTTTTTTGTAGACATTCTAAAAACAGCCCTAGGTCAATGGACATCTAATTTCTGTACAAACACCCATTATAGGTGCCCATAGGCAGAAGAGGGCTGTTGGACATATAGAGGCAAGCCAGCTGTGCCAGTATTGTCCCAGTTTTTGCTATGGAGAGTAGGGCAAGCACTTGCAGAGACCTTCCTACGCTGGTTCCTACAACAGCAATCATACACAGGATCATGCTATTGTCACATCTCATACATGGGTGTCCTCATTAAGTCTGATATTTAATTGCATGGGACAACATTTTTTTTACAGCACAATCTTTGTCCTTATCATTTCAGGATTCACATACAATGCTGACAAGAACATTTGTCCTCCTGGCATTAATCATGGCTGCACCTTGCTGCCCCAGCTATTAAACTCTAACTATGGTCAAGAGATGCAACATTCTCAATCACAGCACTGACCTAATGTGCACATTTAATGAGAAGACTATTGCAGCTGACATCTCTCCCTCTCTCTGTCTTTATACTGGTGACCTGCTGTATGCGAGCAGCTGCGCTTTCATTTCAAGTGCCAGCCTCACCCGCTGACATCACCCTTGCTATTTGGATTGCAGGCGGTGAAGCCAATTATAGTCTCCTCTAGTGATATTATATTAATCGTGTCCCGGGCAGCAATGTCAAGCTCAAGCATTAGTCTAGCTCAAATGATCTTGTTAATACTCCGTTGTTCAGGCATTATCAGCGATCATCTTTAAGGAGAGCAACAGACAGTTATTGGTATAAGTGCAATGTCACTTAAATTTACGTCAGCATATTCAGTTTTGATCTTATGGATTTTATTATACTTCAGCTGCAACTCACACCCTCTACAATGAATATTCATGTGAAAGTTGATATAAACACAAGTCTGAAAATAACATGTTTACTGATTTATCTACTAAAGTATTTGTAACTCTGTACAGTCAGATTTGTGATTTACACATGGCTGCCATACTGCACAGCCTGGCAGGTTGACACACTTATATCCTGGTTCCGCAGTGCCTCTTTCTATGTCATCACTTCACTTGAATGAAATAAGCAGAAAGCCAACCCTGGAAGCAGATATCCTAAACCAGGAAATAGCAGAGCTCGCCGTGACTTGCAGAGGTATCACAAGATTAGCTGACCAGAATTACATAGGAAGCCACAAAGCTATACTATGAAGCTGAAATGTTATATTAGGAAGTAAGTGTGTCGTCTGTACGTCATATCAGTGTAAAGTGCCCCTGTGCCCAGACTAAGGATATTAAAGTATTTACATATTCTTAACAAATAATAAAAGAGTTGTAAAATGAGCCATCCCAACCTCTCTAGCTGCATAGAATGTGAAGTAATTTATTCTCATAGATCCTCAAAGACCACAACAAAGACTCTAAAATTGGATTTCAGTTGATTGCTTACAGGCTGGCAGGCTGCCAAGATTCAGCTACCCCAGAAAGTAAAGGGGTAGGAAGCTGTGGATTCAGTTCCTCTGCTGAGAACCTTGAAGATGAATTTCCCCACAATGCCTATAGCTACAGAGGTGAATGAGAGCTTGTTCTAACGTGCTTTTTTCTGCTTGTTCAGGATAAGGAAATGCTTCACCTATAGAAATTGATTTCTAAATGTGGTAAAGCTTTGCATTTTAAATGTCCAAGTCTCCTTACAGCTGAACTCCAGTCTTACCTTCAGTCTTACCGAGTTATACAGACTCCTCTCCTGGACTGAAATTGCATAATCTGATTTTATTGCATACTCCAGGCTTCTCACAATGTGCATTAGAAGCTGCAGCTTGTTCGATAGAGCCCCCTCATTTCCTGGCGGGGGGAAATCCAGCATCATAAAAACACTTTCCTTCCCACCCCAGCTCTTTCATTCATTGGATTTCAGTTGTTTCAATCATGGAGGTTCAACATCACATGTAGGCATCACCTAGGGTGGTCTGTATGCAAATGCAGCCTGTTTAGGAATGCCCACTCCTTCAGACTGAGATCCACCCATCCAGACTTTTTGATATTTGCATATTTCCTTGGAGTTCCGAGGCAGGGTGCTGTGATCATTTCATGAAGCTATGAAGCTGTGCTGACCACAAGACATGATTATGTCACTGTGTCTTAAATATGGAATGTCATGAAAACATAAAGTTTTTAATTACAAATTGTATCAGCAAATTGATCAAGGAAGGAGAGAGGAACCGATACAGGGAAAAAAAATATGAGCAGAATTAAGTTCAGCTTTATCTCACCCCAAAGTCTGTTTAATGGTCCTTGAAGCCACTACATTAAAGTTTTTATATAACTTCAGCAATTGATATCCCTCGATCTACTCATCAGTTTCACCAGCAGTTCACACTGAAGGTAACCTATGCTTATGCATCTTCCATTTGTTCAGTTTGAATTGCCTTGGTTTGTGACAGCTTTACATGAAATGACATTTTATTGCTCATATGCATGTTATGGAAATGAAACAGCTTACTAATGCAAATCAAAATTGAATATATTCTGCAAATAGAGAAAAACCCTGAATGAGTTTGTATGTGAGAGTTATTGTAGTGTTAAGCGGCTTTGCAGTAAGAAGATTGCCAGTATACTGAAAAAGAAATTAATAAAATCTTATTTCATTCAGCTTAAGGGAGCATGTGAGCGTTACCGTGATGAGCAGTACAAAGGGTAATCCTCTGTTTGTCACTGTCTGTAGCAATGTGAAATAGAGGTTCTATATCATTCCTGTGCTCAGAAGCAATGAGGTTAGACTGAGGTGAGCTGGAAGGAGTTATAAATCCGTTCAGTGTAAAATTACACTCTCACTGTCAAGGACTTTCCTGTGCCCTAGGAACCGCTTCATGGTTTAGTACTGATCTCACCAAGTCTATCAGGGAGATTGGATAGATTGATTTTTTAATCATTTATGCAGATACCAATTTTATGCCATTTGTTTTCACTGTTGTAACTAGTTCTGTATTAATGCAGACACATGTGTTTTACTACTAGTGCGGCAGATTGTGCCTTGGGGACTGTTAGTTTCTATTACTAAATTATGTACTATAAATATTTCCCAATCAAACCCATCATTTTATAAGTATTCACCAGCTGTTCATATACATTGGTTCTTTGTTTAAATGAATTCATGTGATATTAAAGTCAAAAGGTTTTTCATCTATTTGAAATGCTGAATTAATCACTTACAATAAACGCTGCTCCCTGATAATTAAAAGTTTTAGTTTTCTACAGAATCAGCTGCTCCCCTGAGCACCGGTCCTGATATCCTGTTTTAGGGTGACTCCTTTCCATTGCAGGGTCCTATGGAGCCAATCCTGTGTGTTCTAGTAAGCTGTGTTTATATCTACACACAGACAGAGCAAAGCAAACCACTCCCTTGCTCCCTGTCCCCCTCTCTCCGCTCACCAAGCTAGTAGATGGACAATTGCTGGAGACTACTCTGTCCATTGATCTTGTACTAGACAGGAAGTTCAGGGAAGCTGAGTTGAGACAGTTGGAGTCATTTGTTTGGAAACATGATGACTGTAAGTACTTGGGCAAAAAAATAAAGAAATACTTTTCTAGGCAATGTATATTTGATCTAAATTCATTATTAAAAACATTGAGAGTTTAACACTACTTTAATAATATCATCACTGTTATTAGGCTTTTAACCTTTTTTTCTTTGCTTACTAGGGATTGAACAAAACGACAAATTGTGTGTGGAGACTCAAGCTGCTGGTGATATGAATTGTTATGATCTATGTGATAAATCACTGAATGCAGATTATTTAAAATGATATGCAGGTGTGGATGTTCCAGGGCTGTCATCCTAATGCAACTATCACTACTTAGTGGTCACTGATCCTGAACAAGCCTGTATATCAGGCATCCTGACTCCTTATATGCACAAGCAGGTCACAAGTTTGTGATTACCCAAATACACAGTTTTGGAACTTGCACCTTCAGCAATAAGTCAACAGAGGTAGCGCCTGCATTTTTCTAGCTATAGACTCTTCTGAAAGTGATTGGATAAAATTTTTTATCAGTGTGTGTTAATGCTTCAAAAACCTTGTTTTTAAATCTGTCTGTGAATTTGTACATTCACAGACAGATGAGGGCAGCCATATTATGGCACATGGAGTCTCTGCTCAATAGTGCTACATAGTGATCATGTCTTGTTAATCTTATTTCACTGTAAGTCTATTGAAAGGGTCTTTTTGATTAAAATCAGTATTTAATGAAACACCCATAATGGTAGCTAGAAACCATCTGATATCTTGCCTAGGCTTTAAGTCAGTGTGAATGTCAAAGTGTAACTTTGGTCCGGGAAAAGCACCTCCCTCATTGCCCAGAAACAGATATTACTCCCATTGTACTGCAGTGTACTGACCCAAAATTGAACCAGGAGTCCCTGCTGTTCAAGTGGGTTGTCCAGCTCCTAGAAATGAATGTGAGGGAATGTTGTGGTTACATAGCAGGGTGCTTAACTAATAAATTGATTAAAAAACCTCCCTCCAAGAATAATAATGTTAAATATTTTATTCTTATATCAGCACAGCCTGGTACATACCTCTGAACAATATCCATTACATATCATTATGCCTTGGCTTTTCCATGGAACTTCACAGAGATTCGTACGTACACAGCTGGTGGACAGTAATTTAAAAATTAATTTCTTGTGTCATCAGTGCAAGAAAATAACTAACATTAAAATTACAGTACAGAAATTCACAACAATATTACAGTAAAACTCTGATTCATTCTTATGTAGGATGGTTGCTTACAGTACAGGAGTAATGTACATGCACTAAAGTGCCTGTATCATCTAATCAGGTGAAACATATTTGTTTGCATACAGTCATCTCGATAAGACATTTTTTGCCATTATTTTCAGAACATAACATTTCTAGATCAGCAAACTGAATGGCTTTGCATCTTTCAATATAGCTTCAGATAACATGAAGCGCTTTCATTATCCTATGCATATCCTAACACTGTAAAAATAATACCAAAAGACTGAAACAACATACAAGGAATACAAAAATAAAAAAAATTAAGATCAAAAGCTAAAACCAAAAAGAAAAAGTGCAAAGAAATGAAAAAGGCAGTCAGCACTGAGAGATTATTCCTTTTCTTACTTTGCAGTTTTGTTGTGGCATGTATTGTTTTTCTTTCTAGAGAAAGTAAGAAAGATGGAAAGAAATATGGTCGTCTCCTACATTGCAGAAACACAACAAGCAATGTTAAAGATTGAATGTTCAGCAATTGCACATATCATTCCTTAGATGGTAAAGGACTCCTGATGTCTACTGGCAGAGACTGGACTGTGTGAAAATGGAATTACACACATTGGATTATATGACTGGTAAGTCATGCAAGGTGGCATCAGACATTCCTTCCTTCTGTTTGTGTGTCCTTGTTTCCCTGCTCCTCATAAAGATTACCACTAGAAGAAGCCCGGGAGGCAGTCGGGGAATGTGAGGCCCATCTGGAAGGCAGGCGTCGGTTCGCTGGTCTCTCTGGTCTGGAGAAACTGGATTCCAAGGACGGAGCTAACGCGGAACAAGGCAGTTCCTTCATAACAGAAGAGAGGAAAGACTGAGTTAATTTAACCTAATAAAGAATATATTTCAGGTATATCATTTCCATGTAACCTTTAAGCCAGCTATAAAAATAACCAATGGAAAATTACATATTCAGAAATAAGATATCATTTACTATTAAGGTAAGCCTATGCTAATACATTGGCTTCTGTTGGTGACCTACTTAGCAAAGGTTTCCTTCAGGCCTGTGTTAATGGACTTTTGTTCGCTTCAAATGGGTTCTGAACACCCATAAATCTATAGGAATGTAAAACTCACTTAAAGCAGGTCAGAAGAGGGTCATTTGCAGGTCAAATGCACCTGTCAATGAATTCTAAATTATCTTAGAGCGTATCAAATTTATGTCAAACTGATACTATCAACAGAAAGCCCTTAAAGTGAATATGTGCTTTCCCCATGCAGGGCAAAAAGCTCAGTCTAATCCCCCCCCTCCCCAGCATCACATGCTCACCATGATCAGTTCCCCCGCCGCTCTGTTTGGTGGTTGGAAGAGGGAGAAACAACCCTGTATAAGCTACAAGTCACTTAGGTCATACATAGGGTATGGACTTGCTATGTGACAGTGCTGGTGCTTTTTGATTGGCCCGGTGCTGTCCCATGGAACGTGTCATATGCTGCTATTTACCCTGAAGTACCAGGTATTTTCTTTACTCTTGTGGCTGAACGAAGCATTGGGGTACTGCAGGTAATTATTTGATGCTGGAGAGGTGGAGATCAAAGCACACGTGTTGCTTTGTCCTGCATGAACCAAGCACAGATTTGCTTTAATTTTATATCTGCAAAAATTACATATTTACCTTCAGCACTAGAGATCTTGAAGTAAATACAAGTCAGCCAATAAATGCTGAATTAGATAAATTCTGAATACAATGTAGAGAGGAAATAGACACATGTAAGCAGAACTATTAAAGTATCTGCAATAACTTAACGTATTACATTTTTGCCTTCTGCCTGTGTAGCATTATTTTTAATTATTTACATTCAAGGGGATACATTACATTTGTGGAATGATCAATAGTTACATTATGCAATTGCACTAAAGGTTATTCCTCCATCCAAAGATTTACTGGCACTGTCTCCTACCACCAAACTCTTTTAGGCTTGGAACTAAAGTAAACATGAGGTTTTAAATGACTTGGGTGCATATTATCCTCTGGTGACAGCTACCTCATTTGCAGATCACTAAAATTAATGTACTGCAAAATAGGATACAGTCAAGAGGAGATTAAAGTCACGCTTAAAAGGGATTAAAATGCATTGTGTACGTAGGGCATTGTCTCAGCTCCTCTTTCACAAGTTTTACTCATATGTGATCAATGCCGAAACAATGCAATAGCATAGGACAGGACCTTAAGACTGAACATATGACCTAGATGTGTATAGGATATGATTTACACAAACATCTATATTCAATAAAAACTCAGAAGCCAGCAAACTTTGATTTTGCAAGTGCTGAGATTAGGTGAATTGTTACTAATCTGTGAATTCACTTTGCAAACTTACCATTGGTAGGAGATATAAATGCTAAGAGCAGAGCCTTCAAGCTGACCCCCTCCTGTAGGTACAAAATGCTGTGCTCCTGATCATCTCTCTACCTTTCTCACCTAAGAGTTAGGAAAATCCTTTCCAAGAGATTACTGTAGGGGGTCAGGTTGGCCTGGAATATCTGAGAGCCTAGCTGTGGATGGGGCAGAGAGGAACAATGGCAAAGCTGTCTAGTAACACCTCTAACATTTTGCAATTATTGACTATAATTCAAAGGCTAGCATGTATGGAGGACACAAAAAGAGAGCAAACAATCCAGTTTCTAATGTGATCTATGGATTGCAAAATGTAATAACCTAAGGCCATGTTTTGTATATGCAATAATCCAGCCTAATGCATTTTTATTTTTTATGGAATTATTTTTATTAGTAACCTTGCTGTTAATTCTGGCTTGACAAAGGCCATGTGGTAACATATACCAGCACATTGCATTAATGAATCAAGAATGAAGCTGATTTTGAAGGTGAGGACACCAAACACAAAGCAATCATGTGCAGTTAGTATTATTTCATTATGACTCACAATGAGAATTATATATCAAGCTAGTAATAAGTCATCTTAAAAGTGGACTTGAACTCAGGTATGGAGGGAGATTTTGCGACGTCTCTATTGTGCTGCTCACTGTTTTCTTTGCTGGAGCCGCTGACATGTGAAAGCAAAACCCTGCCTCTACCAAGATGGCAGTCTCAACACAGAGACAGTGCAGATTAAGGAAAGCAATAGGGGAAAGTTCAGCTGCAGGTAGTTTACAGGCAATGTTGGTGACTAGTCATTTGCCCTCTGCTTGATTTTCTGGGCACAGCTTCCACAGTTCAGTTCCCCATATTAATTTCCTATTATAAAGTTACTGTACATTAAAGAGCCAGTTCACCCAAAACTGATATTTCAATATATGGTTGCCTCTGAGGAATTCAATTACTTAGCAGCTTCTTATGTTTCACAGGGAATTCATTGGTGAGTTCTCAGATCTTAACACCTACCACATCCATTACAAGCAACCCCTACCCTGGGAATGCGCCTGTTGTAGCAGGAACTGTGAGACCTCCAAGTGCTGGGAATAAAGCCAGAAGTGTCATTGCTGAAGCAGGTGACTTCAGCTGTAAGTGAAATATGACTGTTGGGTGTACTGGTCTTTTAAAAACATGTCATAAGACACAATGCTAAAGGCTAATGAAATAATAGTTTTTGACTCTGATAATTGAAATGATCATCTTGCGTAGAGCTTGATATATAACTCAGTTGGTGACACACAAACACAGCACAGTTACAAGTAGTAACAGACATTAAGGAGACCACAATGAACAGACATAACATTTTACAAAAAGTAGAAGGAGAAGACAAACATTATTACGATGTTAGTTTTGGAGGATGCAAAGACAGTTAGAGGACAGAGGCCTGAAACAGACAGAAGAGTTGTTTGGCTGAAAGATGTGATTTAAAAGCAGTTACTGAAAATGACATGTTTAGTGATGATTAGCAACAGACACGAGGGACTATAAGACAATGCTACATGAAAAATACTTGGTTGAATGGTTATCCAGAACCTGACTTCATGCTTGTACAATACACATGTGACATGTCTTTCATTTGTCATTAATGCTCAGTATAACAATACCGCTGGGAAGAAATACTTGCTGTGCCATAAATACAAGATAGAAGAATACAAATAATCCCAAATCTGTCCTCTGGGACCACTAACACTGCTTGCTCTCCAGTTGTCTTACAGAATCACTGATGAAATAATATCAATTCTGTGGATATAGGAAAGTAAACCTTTGTTTAAACGCTAGGGAAATAGGACCTTCAGTTCCTGATACTGGGGATCTGGCTTAGCTAAATTAAGTTGTAAGCTTAATTATTGGGGGATTTAACATATAATGCGATATTTAGATTAAAAACAATGTGCTCCCTTCTGTGCATTCTAGAACATGAAACTTACATAGATGCATCTAGAAATACATTATAAAATAATACATTCTAAAATGCATTACTTATACAGTATCTTAGTATCAGGAACGAGCATCACTAAAGTCATGAAATGAAAATGTCATATTTGCTTCAGCATGCCATTTTACCATCTCTCACCCTGTGTCTTTAAACTTCTATTTCCATTTAGTTTATATAAACACCTCTGAATAAATGATGAGAACCACATTCACATAAAGTTCCTTTATGCCTGTGTCCACATTTAATTCTGCCTTCCTACTATCCCCCCTTGTAGTCACACATGTAGTAGCACTATGCTTAGGAACTAGTATACTATTTTTTTCACTACTCCCTCACAGCTCCACCCCTCCTCCCTGATATCCTGCCCACATACCTGCCCACTTCTCTACTTTGCCAGCTTCTCCTATAGCCTGGAGCACAGCTATAACTTATGACTAACTGAGACAATCTTGATGCTAAGAAAACCAGTAGAAGCTGCTACTTAGGAGAGGCAGGGATATAAAGTATTTTTAAAAGTAAGACATTATTTTGGAGCATAACAAGAAAGCCTTTTTTATTTATTCAACAATACTTGTTCCGAATATCTCATGTGATGTTTGTGCCCGTAGATCACCTTTAAAAAGTATGTTCCATATAGAAATAAGAGATGTCACTACCCCTGTGTTAACCAATTAATGAGTCATCAGCCTGAAACAAGCATGTGCATACGGTATAAGTTGTCCCAACACCTGATATACACATGCTTGTTTCAGGTCAGTAGCACACTGAGTAGCATAGTACTATAGTAGGGTAAGGATGGCAGCCCTGTAACCATGCATTTTTAAAAACAAGTCAGCAATGGCGACTTCTGTATTTCTTACTAAAAAGCTTTATTTTAAAAGATTAGTGCATAGCACACAGACAATATTTCTAAGGTCTGCATGCTAGCTGCTTTCCTTGCGCAAGGGAAGCAGGTAACATTGTTCGTTACTCTACATTTAGTTATTCAAACAGCACCTTGTTTTAGACAATATTCTGCTTCCCATTAGACCAGAGTTCTCCTTTAACCCCTTAGTGACACAGCTTCAGAAAATGTTTTCCCTTCTGGGGATCGAAGCAATTTTGCTATTTTTGCTATGTGTTTGTTTAACCATAATTTCCATCTTCCTTATTCATTGCACTTACACATATTATATACCGTTTTTTAATGGACAAAATGGGCTTTAATTTGATGTGACATATATAAATTCTTATTTTTTTAAATGAAGAATACAAAAAAAGAAAATGCAAAAAAATATTGTGTATATAATTAGTGTAGCTAACGGAAAGTAATTCATAATAAATTATTTTATTTGTCCTGATTTATAGGATATACCACATGCCTGGCATTTCAGTTTATTTTGAAAGTGAAATTCAATTTTAGTTTGGAACAATTTTAGAATGTGTTATGTTTTGTCCCTTATTTTAATAGCCTTCTTGGCACTATATTATAATCTTTTT